TGGAGAGGAGGTCGGCATTGGTGTTGACGTCATCACTAGCTGGTCGTCAAGTCGTCTGGTTGCTTCCATGACTGTAGTTGTAGGATAGGCTGTAGGGCACCTGGCGCCATTCAAGAGAGAGGGCTACTTCGGGTTATGTTGTTGGTGTTGCCCGATTGGGCTTGGACATTGACTCACGACTTTTGCTGCATCGTTCTCAAATGGATGGTTGCTTGGTTCCAATGTGTTATCTGCTCTTGCTTTGACTACTCGGACTTCAGTGTGATTTGCAATTGGGATTTCTTTGCTTCGTCCACATTCATGTTCCTTGCAATTATAATATGATTATATAATTTAATAAATATTATTAATTTAATTTAAGTTCATATAATAATACATCTAATTTGCTGTCATATTACAGTCTTATTAAATTTCAAATACAAATCATCATTCATGGCTCACCAAATCTGTGACGAGGCAGAGGCAGAGCAATGAGGATGGGATAGAGAGGGAGAGTGGGAGCACACACACACGCTCACTCAACTCGACGCAGACTCGGCACGACTCGGTGGATGCAGACACAAAGTGGCAAAAGTCGCAAACTTAAGTCGCAGTCTTGAATTCCCAAACACAATGTCGAAGCCAAGTCACACTGAACACACGCACCGAGGCTGAAAACTTGGCGCCTGTACTGGGCTTGAGTCCGAACATAAGTACTGGACTCAAGTACAGTCCTGAGGGCCAAAGTGAAAATGCCTCAGGGCCTGAACTGCAAATCGAAAGTCTGAGAGTGGGCGCCGGAATTTCCGATGGCACCAAGTGTCCGAAATCCGGAAGTCCCAAAAGAACGAATTTGAAAACGGGCGCCAGAATGCAGATGGCGCCAACTGTCCGAAATCGGAAAAGCGAGAATCAAAAGCAAAAAGAATTGCAAAAAAAAAAAAAAAAAACCAGCAAGATGGTGGGTGGTAACCCACAGACCGGGGATCGAGCCCTGGCGGAGTCCGTAACAAGATCACGTCAGGGAGATTAGTAGATTACCCGTTCTGACACACTGGGCCAATGTGCACCAGCAGTTCTATTTATAGTAACCATCCATTGCAAGGGTAGGACCAAACAATCTAAGGGGCTTGGCAAACACCACGGCGGAGTCAAGAAATTTTGACAGTTTTTCATGGTGAAAGGATTTCGCGCTGTATCAGTCTCCCGAATCCCAGTCCCAGAGTCCCATTTGTCCCAGTCCCATGAGTCCCAGTACTAGGTCCCAGCCCCAGGGTTCTACGGGTCTGGTAGGATCTGGTAACAGAAGCATCATAGTTTGGCAGGAAGGAGTCAGGCCGGTACCGGACAAGAAAAGTCTGAAGTCGCGAAGTCCAATTTTAGACAGCGGCACCCTAGGAAAGTCCAGAGACTTCTGAAATGAACGACTGCAGCCGACAGGCCATGCCATGGGGACCGCTACCAGTCGGAAGCCGGGAAACAACAAGTCAAGTTCCTTATCATACCTGCTACAGTGTCTCTTCACTTCACTTGACATTAATTTTGTTGGTTGCAGAAGCAATGTGGAACTAGCTAGGGTTGCGCCATAGCTACAGTCTTCACCCGAATATAACGCCTGGTCATTATAGCTGTATTTGGCACAACTTTCAGCCCAGATATGGCGATAATTAGTGGGCGCTGTATTCGGGTGAAGACAGTAGGGTCCTCGTGGGGGGGGGGGGAGGTGGCGACCATAGCCCAGGTTAGGGTATGGCAACCCCAGCCACAGTTTATCAGGAACCCTCGGTACTGAGTCACTAGTCACTCTGAGTAACAACAAAAAGGTCACAAAACAGTAAAAGTAAAAGTTATTGTACAGCAACACACCAAGGTCACAATCTATTCACCATTCACTATCTACCAACAAAAGGTAAATATCAAACTCTACTGCCTAGTACAGTAACTGTAAAACCTAGCAAACACCTAGTACGAAACACCCTACCAAGCATCCTACTCTAAATCCTAACAGCCCATTTTCCAAAATCCTGTTTTTTTTTGTTTTTGTTTTGGAGACGATGCTCCCATCTATTCGTGGGGAGCAACTCGGCTGGGAACAGGGCCTAGCGTCCCTTATCAGAATACAAAAAATGAGCTGCCGGGGCCATTACCCGGCTTCGGCTAAGAACAATTGAAGAAAAAGGAAGAACTGAGAAACACTACTCAAACTCTACCAAGTCACTAGAATATGTGTGTCAAAAAGCCTCCCATCCACGAATCAGATAGGTGAAACCTATTCAATCCACCTACGACTACCACCAGCATGGCTGTTTTCAGCACGAACCACCTATTCAATCCACCTACCACTACCACCAGCATGGCTGTTTTCAGCACGAACCGAAGCTGTTCCAGGCCTCATGCTCCCGTCAGGCTAGGTTACAGAGTTGTACTACCTTGCTCCAGCACCGGCCAGCATTGCTCCAGTTACGACCCCCGATGACCACTGAGACTGCCCCCTCAAACAGCCCCCTAGATCTCTCTACCAGGCCTCACGCCCCCACTAAGCTAGGTCACAGAGTTGTGCCATCTGGCTCGCCTCAAACATCTGAAGCATGTGTTGACACACCATGAGGTCTTGAAAGTTCCCGATCCTGATAAGCCGTTCATAGTAACCACGGATGCTAGCCAATATGGCATAGGCGCCGTGCTCACGCAACATGAGAGGCCAAAGTTGAGGCCAGTCGAGTACATGTCCAAAAGATGCCTTCTCAGAAGTTGGCTAAGTCCACCTATGAGAAGGAGCTCTATGCGATCTATAAGGCGCTCACCCACTGGAGGCACTATCTCCTTGGGAGGTTTTTCTACGTCAGGACTGACCATCAGACCCTGAAGTGGATAAGGATCCAGCCTGTGCTCTCCGATGCGCTGAAACGCTGGATCGAAGTCATTGAGCAGTGTGACTTCGAGCCCTAGTACATCAAAGGTGAGTTGTTATGACCTGTCATCACACGGACTGAAACAGACAGCCGATTTCTGAGTCTTGCCGTGGAATGCATGCCATACTAAGTTCCCCCGCCTGCTAAGTCTGCTTGAGTGTGTGTGTGCTGGACTGCATGTCTGTCTGAATGCTGGCTGACCTGTGTGAGTGTGCTGCGTGCCTGTCTAAGTGACTTGAGTGTGTGTGTGGCCCCGTCGGGGTCGTGGATGTGGGGGCAGGACCGGTAGGGCCGGTACTTATCCGGTGGCGTGACATTTGAGGGTTGCAGCCAGGAAACACTCAGGTGGCGACGATAGCGGCCCTGCRGCCCTCGGTGGGTAGCGGAAAAACACTCGAGTAGGCCGGTAAGTCCAAAATGGGGTACTTGAGGGCCGGAAGGCCGAAACTTGAAGCACTTGAAAGTCGGGCAGAAAAAGACAAAGTTGGCATTTTT